TTCCTGTGCTGGAAGTGACTCCTGAAGAATGACTTAGCAGGAATTTCTAAAAAGGCTTAATGAAAAAGCAAAAAAGTCCCTTTGAAAGTTTACAAAGGCTTTTAGGGCCGTCTGATGCCTCCTTGCTTACTTTACCTGGGAGACATGTACTGCTCGGTGTACTCTGTTGTCCTGCTTACACTGCATAACATGTCTCATGAACGTTATTTTCCAAGCCCAGCTACACAGACAACTGTAAATACTGCTTCTCTTCCCACATAAGCCTTGTGCTGCAGACTGCACTGACTATCAAAAGCAGAAGGGCCAGCTGTATCGATACAACACCTTTTTATGTTAAATAATGATCATGCACATACTTACAGTTTCCACTCAGCAGAGGCTCAAGGGATAGGAGATTACAAGAAGTTTATATCGAATCTAAATTAAAGACCACAGTGACTATAACTTCAGAAAAAGCCCACAGAAGGCAAATAAGGGGATCTTACCACCGTCTAAGCTCCGAGACATAGTATAGCGTTTACTAGAGGAGCGCTCAAAATAAGGTGCAGGGCGGTCTATTAGCGCACTGGCTCTTCTAGTCTGCGCCTGAGTTCGACCGCTGTAGCGAAATTTGGAGCCCAGCGTGAGGAATTTCTTTGGAGGTGCTTCTGGCAGCAGGAGCCTAAAACACATCAAGTAGTGTATGTTATTCCACTTATTCCACAAATAAGTCCATTATTTCTGTAGAGGAGACAGAACAGTGTTGTGCAGCATTATCCATTGTAACCTCTGTCTCATGAGTTCACGTCTAGAAAGGAAGCAGCTATTGCCCCACATTACAAAATGACTCAGATAATGGATTAGAAAAGCTGAATTCTTCTTAGTGGGCAGGAATAATGCTCATCACACAATCAAGCTTTCCTGACTGAAAATCAGATTTATTCTTTTCTAATTACCAAGACTGAAACTGAAATGCCTCTTGTATCAGGGACTAGATATGGGCTACGACAGTGATATATTTGTTACATTTGAAATTTATGACAATGCTGCTATATCAAAGACAACACCAGAACAGATTTCCATGAATGCAAGCCATAGTCATTCACAGGGTCCAAACATTTGTCAGGTTAGAGCCTTTCCACCATCTGTATTTAGACTATGGGAGTTTGCTGATGAATCTATTCTATTGCTATGGAGTCTACACTTTAAAAGGTGATTAAAGTATCAAAAACCACCAAAGAAATGGACAGTCATTTACTTCGTAGCCCTTGTGACACTTCACAAGCAACCAGTGAAGTCATATAAGCCTGAATCCACACATACCTTGAACCATAATTTTAAGAAAGAAAAGAAATTCCTGTGTTGTCCCAAACATGTAAAGAAGGATTTGTAAGAACTGGTTGTCCTTTCGAACCATTGAAAATGTCACCCTTTTGGATCCTCATTGCTAAATATTTAATTGCTGATTGTCTTAAACACAAATGAGGCACTACATCTATTCCACTGTCTCAAACTTTACTCAGGCCTTCTTAGATGCCAAAAACATAACATTTTGTATAGCTGCAAAATTCCTCCATTGCATAGTAAACTATGGATATTCCAAGAAACAAACCACTACATTTTTGTATTTAATTAGATCAATAAAAGTTTTTTTTTTTTTACTTTTACTCCCAGTAATTTTCCATATATGTTGTTCTTTCTAGACAAGTTGTATGTGCAGCAGTGTTACATACTCCTTTGTCTCTTTCATTATAGTGGCTGATAATATCACGTACAGATAAAGCAAAAACACAAAGTTAACTATTCGAATAGTTATGACGATTTAAAGCATTCAACATCTACTTGAAAGAACATGAACAATTTTTGTGAAAAATCTCCGATTTTTAAGACGCAGTAACCTTCCTGTGTCTGCTCAGAGGCATTCTTAATCACAAAAACAATTTAATTTGAAGACATTTGTCTCTACTGGCGTAGTTGTTATTTTTTGGTCATCTTTTATGCTACACCTGTAGGAAAAGAAATCCACATACCTGAAAAATGTATGGTGTTCAACACACACTTTCCATAAGCGCTTTGCAGCACGATGATTTGGCAACTTAAACCCAATAGTGCTTTCAAACTGCTCAAACTAGGTAGGAAAGAAGAAAATCAAAGCATGTTTCTGATGCTGTGCATCTGCATTTAGAGAGTGTGCACATGTATACAGGTTCATTTCCTCTGTTTATATCATTCCAAATGTGAACATATGTGCCAATGTATATAACCACATATATGTATATTCTGTAGATATCTGTGAATTGCAATCAAAGGCAAACTTTGAGGATTGGTTTTGGGGAGAAATCTAAAGGATAGGCAAGAGGTTTTTGCTGGTGACATTGATGATTTATGCACTGTAGTAAGGAAGGGATCAGTTAAAACTTGTGAAATATCAGAGGAAAAAAAAAACAGTTAAGCATTTTGCCCTGTTATTTTAACAACATGTAACAACTGCACCAGTTTAAAGAATAGTGGGAAGCCTGATAATAGCCTGGAGGGGAGCAATAGCTCACCAGGATGAATTTAGTCTCACACAGCCTTAGATTAAGGAGATTTATAGTAAAAAAGCTGGAGTCAGTAAATCACTATGTTTTAGCTAGTTTATCTCCTGGGGGCGGGCAACTGAAAGAGTTGGCTGCAGCTACCAAGACACCTTTCTGGGTTGTGCTACAGATCTATATTCCAGATGCAAAAGCTGTGGCAGCTACAGCAGCTGTAGCAGAGGGATGGCTACAGGCGGATAGCTGAGTAGGTGAAATAGTGTTGCTGGGATCAAGGGAAGGCAGGCAGAAGGGCAGTTGCAAGAAATCTGCTCCTGGATCTCTGCAGGAACTGAGATAGACAGACAAGGCAGGAAAAATGATATAAGCGGCACATGGGATGGTGAATCACATTATCATCAAACGTGATTTGGAAAGAGACTGCTTTGATTATTTTGCATAAGTAGCTATGACCTGGTTATGAGAAGCTACGTATCCAGATGAGCAGAGCTCATTAGAACTTCAGTGGTGAAGAGAGTGAGCTCAGGCAGTGGGAACATCAGGGGCTATTCTGCTGTTTTAAATCAAACTCAAGACTTGAAAGTTGGTTATTGAGACTGTGCCCATTGGGAGGCAGAGAGTGTCATGTTTGTGGATTCTGGCGTAGGATTCTGTAAAAATGTTCAGACACCCAGTTATACTGAGAGGGCCCCAGCAGATTTCCTGGATCACTTGCAGAGCCAGTGCAGGAGACATTAGGCTCAGAGTCCTCAACTGACTTATCGCACTAAGGGAGAAATGCCATTCCTAAAAATCAGATAGGTGCTTTCTGTCTTGCCATGCAGTTCCACCCTCTAAAATGACTGTGATTATTTCATCTATCTCAGACTGATCACTGTATCAGCAGCTGAAACAGAGCCCATCCTTTCCCCATGGTGATGTTGAACGATTCCTGGGATTTTTGCTAGGATATATCATTTTACTTCCATGCTAGTGCATGCCTGAAGCATGAGGTAATGAAAGGCACATCATCGAGAGCGGATTTGCCATGCATCCAACTAAGCCACGAGAGGGCACTCATTGAACGAGCTTTCCCATCACCTTCCTCAATGTCAGCACATGAGCTCCTATGGGGCTGGAAGGGCTAATGCATGTAGCTACCAATAATGCTGATGAATGGATGCTTGACTCCATTTTTATCCATCTCTAGATTGCTGCTCAGACTTCAAATTTACTAGCCTGATGCGCTCATAAAAATTGGTATGGCCTATCTTCATCCTTCAGTGGGAAAGATAGATATACACTAATTCAATATGCAACACGATGGTGGATGATGAGCATCCCATGAATAAGAAGAGTTCTACAACTGCAGCAATAGGATACTTAAATTCCCAAAGTATTCATAAAATGAATGAGCTTTTTGCTTTTTTCACGCAGATGACTAAATTTATTCTTTACAGTAGTTCATGGATGTAAACAGAAAAATACCAAAGAAGGCTTTTACCTGTATTTTAAATATTTACCTATTTTTTTCCAAGAAAATCAGCACAGTTTAAAAAATATAAATGAAGAGGAATGTTGAGGGCTTGTAGGACTTGACAAATTACAAATCAGTAATGACAACACGCTTTTTTTTAGAAAGGCTCCACTCACAAGGGAGGGCTGGGAAACTCTTACCTCCCCTGGTCGGATTTTGATGTAGAAGTTGTTCCTTTTGTATGAAATTTTCAGAACCTTTGGCCAGGCAAATCTATTTATTCTCAGTCTGTCTCGATATATCAAGAGACCACTTGCACAAACACCTAACATGATTTCCACTCCTTCAGAATCCTGCAAAAGGAAGCAGTGTTTATTGAGTACTTCTCACTTTACATCCCAAAGTTTTACAGATTCTTATATATATATATTTATGAGCCACACATTTTTAATACATCTGGTGCAGTGACCTCACTTCTAAAAGCTCGCCTACTTATTCTACTTATTATCTGCACTTATGAAAGTAATAGTAAAGTTACGCAGGGTGAGAGAGCCTAAGTGTTGCTGAATATTACTTTATCTTTTAGAAAGACTCTAAAAGGAGTGGAGGAAAATGTAGCAAGCTATTAAAATAATAAGATTATCCACACAGAAAAATGTTATTACTTTCCAAATGTCATTAGCATAAATGCAAGATTGAAAGTAAGTGGGACTACATACCATTTACTTGTCCTTGAATCACTCATCTCCATGACTAAGCCCTGTGAAACCTGCTTTTTTTTTCCTGCAGTTTGCTTGTGTTGACTTTAGTTGGTTTGCTAGTTTCTTTAATGCTGTTGCGCCTATGCCCAGTATTTTCACATTCTCACTTTTCTGCAGTAATATGTGAAATGACCAGTAGGCAGAAAATTAGGCACATAGACCAGAAAGATTCTTTTAAAACTCTGTGGCAACACCTGTGTTATAAATCATTTTGAGAGAGAAAGTGTCATTCAGACATCTTAATCTTATAAAAGATTTGGCCATAATCCTAACAAAATACACCCGTAAGAAGAAAGAACTTCTCTTTCCTTCACAAGATTTCAGATAGTCATAAGCTATCGCCCTAACCTGTCAAGGATATAATTCTAGAGGGTTTTTTGTGTGTTTTAAGATAGCTTACATTTACAAAATTCTGAAAACAGAAGCTATGGAGAGGTCAATCTATGTCAAACTTTTCAAGCTATGACAATCATGACCTTATTTCATCATTTTCCTTTAGCTTTCCCAACAAATCACATTTAAGAATATAGAGAAAAATCTGATTACATTTTAAGATGAACACAAATACACACATAGTCAATCTGAATGAAAAGGTTACAGTAGAGTTTGAAATGTAAAAAATTGCTTAAAGTCCAGAGATGCGATGTATATACAATTAGTGCCAAAAGGTCACCCCACTGTTAAAAAACAGACGAATAAATGATACATGTTCCCACAATGATGACTTTGCCCCTTAAAGGTGGATTATTTCCCAAACAAAATTCTGATACAGTTTCAATGTGAGGTATTGCGGAGGATATAATTTTGTCAGTGGACTTCAGTTTTACACCTCCCTAAGCAGTGAGTAAATCTTTAAACATAATGAACATATTAAAGAAAAAAAAAAAGGTCTCATTGCCTGAAATCATACTGCCTGGCTGATGCCATGAAATGCACATAGCTGCATAGACAAGGGGTTAATTCTTCTGAAATATTTTCTCAAAAACTTGTTGAGAAAAGCTTTCTTTCCTCAAGCCCACCTGCGCAGCAGATGAAAGTGTATTCAAGGCTTCTTCTACTAATTGGAGTCAATGATTGCTTTTAAATGTGATACTCCTGGAGTCAAACCTGAATAAGAGGAGAATTTGGCTTTTTTTTCCAGAAGTGATGCCTTTCCACGGCACAGAAAGCTCTTTTCCATAACGCCCAATACACGAGAAACAGAGTTGCAAACACTTGTAGTTCTGCAGGTAAGTGGGAGATTTACTGGAGTTGTGAACGCTCGGAGGACAAATCTATCCATTTGAATGCCTTTTTTAACTGCAGTTTTGTGTTTTGTAATTGAGCACTACTTTTACCAGCCCAGTGAGTCCAGCCTGTGTTGAATACCTTTTGAACCTGCACAGCCTTAAGCAGTTGACTTTTGACATCAATTAACACTGAGAGATCTGCCACTGTCCAGCTGAAAAGTGCCCCACTGAGGCATCTGGCCCACCTGATGGTCTGGATACTGTCAGAACTCACTGGCAGATCTAATTTAACCTAAAATATTGCTTTTCACACAGATTTAGCTCCGTTTCCAAGATTCCGGATGAGTGTTTCTTTAATCTACAGACAAACCAAGCTTGGCTACAAATGCAGCTTTTTTATAATAAAAAAGAGAGTTAAGAGAGCGATCAGCTTGCCTACCATCTTCTCTTGCTCTATATCTTTCCATAAGAAAAACAGAACAGTAAAAACATATGCTGATACTTTTCTGGGGGGAGAAAAGTTATCTTGGGATAGCTTACCTTAGATTTCAAAGCCTTTCTCCTACGTTCCCCAACTCTGAAGAAACCAATTTGGCCTGAATGGCACAGTATGTTGAATTTTAAGTAATGAAGCATGCTGCACATTTAGAACAGAAACTCTTTTTTTGGTTTTTTTTTTTTGTTGTTGTTGTTGTTGTTATTTTACAGAATTAATCAAGTCAGACAAGACTGTTAAAAAAGCTCCAGAGTGGCATTTGCCGATCCATTTCTAGTCTTGCTGCGAATGCGCCTCAAGACCGTGTGCCTATCTGCAAGCGACAGGAAAAGCTGCAGCCTGCCTCCCGGTCGAAAGCTGCCCACTGAGCCATTCTCAGATTTTTCATGTCCAGGGAAAGCAATTAATAGAATACAAAAGATTGCTTTGAATTCTGTAACACGCATGCCCAGTTCCTATGAAATGCCCCAGGGATGTGGTTGCAGGCCCTTTCAAGATCCAAGCTGCAAACTTGTCTCAGCGCTTGAAAGGGTCCGTTGCAGGATAAAAACTGCCTCACAGTAAAGTGACCTTTAACAGAAAATGCAGGGCTCTCCAGAGCCCAGGATTCTTTGTTCAGCATTCATTTGCTAAGCACACTTACTAACCTCAAAGATGTTGAAATCCATTAGTCTTACTTTGAAGAGTGAAGGACTAATAACAATTATTTATTAGGGAAAAAAGAAGGAGGTTTGGGGAAACAAACACCACAAGGTTGTTAGGTGGCTCTCTCAGACCACAGTAAGAATGACTATTTTTGACCAACCCTTAAATTGCTGGTGATTAGAGAAACTACTTCATCTCGGCAGAATGTTTTCAAAAGAAGTACTGCCCCTCCAGTTAACTGCAAAGACTGCTCTTGGGAAGAGAAACAGACCTCCATCTCCTTATTACTATCAAATTGATTAGGTTTCCAGCAAAGCTAATTAAGAGCTTAAAGGTTCTTTGCAGTATTGGAAATGACCTATTTATTTAGATGAGACCATAGTTGGCTTTACAAAAATGGCAATCGCAGTTCAATGAAATGAAAACTGATTGCTCTCTGGACAACCTCTACTATTCTTGCTCACTTCTCTGTCCATTCACTATTTCTCCCAAAGGAGCTTTTTTTTTTTTTTTTTTAATCAACATGCAATTTAAAACACATCCACCAATGGCTGACAAGCAACATCTTAGAATCTATAGGCTAAAATATGTTACGGTTGAAAATAAATCCATGCCTATTCTAAGAACCACTTTTCCTCATATTGACTAATGATCTACTCCACAAATTGCCTTTTTTGAAAGAAGAAGAAATCAGGGAAAATATTAAAGTCAGGGAGTAATATATCATGTGCAAAAGATGACCACTGCAGGCTCCAGTTTAAACAACTATAGTCCATACCTTGGCATGATGGAGATCTACTCCATACATCGATAATTTTTTGGCATTCTCCAGGAAATGCATCTCAGCCTCTGCCGGTGTCATTCCCCTGAGGAAAAGCAACTGATGTTAAGGAAATACAGACTGAAAGAAAATTCAGCACTTGGAAAACATTTTCATTCTGCCTGAACTAAAGCTGCACCCATCAGACAGCTTGGTATCTTTCAACCAGAGCTAAAGTTCTGCTTCAAGTCTCTAACCAAAGAAATAGAGAGGTATTTTTTCCTAAAAACCTCCTCACTAAGTGCTATCATTTCCAGCCAGACATGGCAGCAAATTGTAACATTTTATGACGGAACTGAGTGCAGGAGATAAATCTTCCCTCATATTCTCTGCCCACCTGTGGCTCTTGTGCAACTCAATGACCTTGTCTTCCAGTTCTTTAGTGTGGTTTGGTGCAAAGCGGAATTCACTGACATAGTCACTGCCGTATTCATCGGGGTCGTAGTCGCCGAGCTCTGACTGCACCGTGTAGGAGCCCAGGAGAGCGAGCGTCACGAAGGAGCAGGGCAGCCGGCCCGAGACGATGTCGTCTCGCAGCTGCAAGCAGAGGTAGTACCTGCAACAGAGCGCGGAGACAGCTTAGAAAGTGCCCCCCAGCTCTCAGAAAAGGAGAGCTGGAGCCTCCAAAGAGGCTCCAAGAACGTCTCAAGTCTTCCGTTGCTTGCAACTTGCTGAAAACGCCCAAGCATTACATTTTTCAGGTGTTAACGAGGATAAAAAAATAAAAGCGTTGCCTAAACTATGGGCACCAAGCCGTAATTTACTAGTCTTTATAAAGCAGCATGGAGATTTCTTAATAAAACAGCTCGCCATTTTGTTAAATGCTAGATGAAGAAATCCCCAGTAAATACTCTAGGGTATCTTTACACAGCTACTCTGGGCAATTTTCTTCTTTTGATTTATAAAGCAAGAATTTCCTATAATAAATAGATAAAACTTAGATATATAGTTAAAATATATATATATATATTATTTGAGGAGAAAAAAGAAATGCTTGTTAAAGGGTAGGTGAACTAGAAAGTAAAAAAAAGAACTCTCATTAAAAAGTTATGGCGCTTTCTCAAAATGCATTTAAACAGTAAATGCTCTTAAAAAACATTATGATGAACAGTGCAAGGAAGCACCAGATAAAAGGAACGAGAAAATCTCAGAAATAATATCTGCTGGCTTTGTGGATGAGGCAGAGAGGTCTTGGGGGAGTTGTAAGGGCAAGAGAGGCATCTCAATCACCACCAGTCTTACTGTGCACCCGGTGCACGTGCGCCCTGGCGCTGAGCTGGGGGTGATTCTTGGTTTCATTTCCAGGTCCTACTCCAGTGTGAAGCTGACAGAAGAGCAGGATGTGCGCCCAAAGCCAGGACTTAGGAAATATTCCCAAATCCTATACTGCAGAGATTTCCTCTGTGTGTTCAATCCAATTATATGGGAGAGAGAAAGAATCCTTCCTTTCTCCCAGACTCTGTTGAACTGTGAACTTTTGGTACAGTATCTCATTATAGCTTATTATATTCAATATATCCAACTGTTCTATATATATTATATTCTAGTCTAGTGCAGGGGAGCTCTGTTCTATGCTGAAGGCTTTATCTAAATGCTGCCTTAGTTGACAAAGCAACAAATGTCTAAAAAATACTAAGAGGTTACAAAATGCTAGAATGGGCTAGGCAACAACATAAACCCCTTCATGGTTTAGAAGGCTTTTCGCTCTTAGACCAAGGAGAAACCCAAACAAGTGTTTTTTGTTCACGCTTAAAGTATCACTAGTAAAAGCGGCAGCCAAGGAGCAGACTGCATCTACTCACTACCCGGTGTGCATCAACTGCACCCTGAGCTAGAGGTCATATAAAAACTACAAACATGCTTATTTTTATCTCCATTCTCTCTTTTCACAGTTGTGATTTTACTGACAAGAAGAAATTGTGGTACACAAGTTACAGTGGTAACTGGCAAGACTGGACAGCAGGCATGCCTGTGAATATTTAAAGTAGGATCAAATCTCAAGAATATCTACATTGGAAATGCTTGATTTTAGAGTCAAGTTATGAAAAAAAATCAAAAGTTTTCTTAGCTCAGAGTACTCAAAACTGTTCACAGCCTCTTTTCTGCCAAAGCATCACATATTTTCCATCAGCTCCTAGCACTTAGGAAGCCAACTGCAAAGCAAAACATTCCTCATCTCAGATAATTAAAGTGTAAGCACTATCCAAAACAGCTTTTAAGCCCCTTCTAGAACGGTATTTAATGTTTTAAACACCTGGTAATATCTTCAGATAGCTGGGCAGGGTCTGGAGGGTAGAATTTCACATTAAATGCAAACTGCCAAGCACCACCTGGAAAAGAGTAGAGCATTACTGAAAGTACACAGCAAGTACAAATGGAGATGTTCATGCTGTTATATTACCAGAAGCCTTAAAAATACTACCGTCAAGCAAGTCATAAAAACAGGCTATAGTAGCTTTTTTTTTCCCCATATACTGCTCTGAAAATAATACTTTTCCCCTCATAACTACAGAATTAGACTAGACCTTACAGATCTTTTCTTATTTAGTAAGATTTTCACTGAAGCAGAGACTCAAAGGGAGCAGCAATTCATTACTACCTCAACACTGCGATTAACCATCTGCAAAGGCAGTCTCTATGAGCTTCAAAAACAAGAAACCCAAAATGCAGCAGCACTGGAAGCACTGCAAATTAGTGTTTAAATGAGCTTCCAAAATGTAAGGGGTCACGTGAGACACGCTGAACCCTCTCTGCCCATAAGGGCTTATCAGCACCGGAGCCGAGCGCTGCCTCAGCACATAGCTCCTGGCCCAGCCGACATGAACCGCTGTGGGGACAAAACTGCAAGGACAACCGCAGGGCCATTGCTGCATAAAGGCCTTTGGAACTGGAGAAATCTTCTTTTGGAATTTCAGGAGGTCTAGGTGCCTCGTGGGATGCTGGTTTGCACTACACCAAGTATTTTGTAAATCTTTTCTTTTCTGGGAGGTTAGCTTTAAACGTGGTAAGAGTATTAAGATTAAAGCTAAGAAAGAATTAAACATAACAACATGACCATAAAAGCTGTTCTGAAGAAGGTGAAAGGTTATGCTAGCGCATGTCTCAAATACAAACAAAAAGCACTAACAAAACCCCAAACTGGAATGTTCTAGCAAGCAACACGGTGGCATTTTAGTGCAAGAGCTGCTCTCTAGGCCTTGTTTGTGGGATACACTTTCTATGTATTTCTGTCATTTAAATCACAGCATTTCTGCCATCAAGAAACCAAAATCACAGTAGCTTGTCACTTTTCTAAAATGTGTTCACATCAAATTACAGTCTAACTAAAAAAAAATATATATATTTATCCTCCTTCTGAAAAGACCCATATGGGTCTTTTTAAGGAGAAAGTGCTATGGAATGGGAAAGTGCTTATGGACTGTGAGAAACAGGACGCTTCCACACGACCCTTACGAGAGTTTTTTTCACGATCCTCAGTTCTCTGCCCCCTTGCACCTTCTGATGAACTCAGGTCTGGAGGGCCAATCTGATACATGTTATGGTACAGAGATTATAAACTAGACAGAGCAAAAGTACGCTGACAGCTTTTCTAAACAGTTTTACGGCTGACTGCCTGAAAATTCAGCAAGGGTTTTCCAAATGAGGTGTTCGGGAGCTTTTATTTAGTCATTTCTGTCTCCTCCAAAGGATCACTTACTTTGCCCAGCACACATCCCCCAGCACACATCCACAGAAAACAGGCTGAAGATGCTAAAAGATTGATGTGTTTATCTTTAGGATTTCAGCTCCTGATGAAAGTTTGGGGTTCCTTCGTCTGAGGATTTTTTTTTTTTTTTGTCTATGTGATGAAGAGCTGCCCCACAGAGAGGCTGGGATATGTCCCACATGGGAATAGGCGTCGAGTTGAGAGCCAGCCCAGTGACTAGACATACGCTGGAGGGCAGGGGGCTTGGACACCCTGTTGGTTAATCTGCGCATGGCCCCTGGCACACACCAAATAAATCAAGGCTAACATGTATCCCTTGGGAGCTCCTCTCCTCACTCACATACCTCTGTTCGGGGTATTGAGGGGTTAAACACAACATACATCTGCTGAAGCCATCAGTTAAAACTAATGGGGTGTGATCTGGAGGCCTTATACACAGTGACAGCTTAATTTTGCAAACACCGTAATGAAAAAGATAGGTTGTTTACCAGGGAATCGGGCATCTCTGAGTCTCCTACCACTCAACCAACATTTAGCAGGATTGGAATTTCTTTTTTATTATTTGCCATTCATGAAAATTGCCATATGTAAGAGTCCTACTTTTTCAAAGTTCTGTTCCAAAGTTGGAAGGTGAATTCTATAAAGCAAGCAAATTATCACTGTCATCTTCTACAAATACAACTGTCCCCTGTGTCAAGTCCAGGACTAGACTTTTCTGCCCTGGTTAATCTCTTGCTGTCACAACCTTTCATCGTCTAACTCACAGCTCGGGCACATTTAAAATGCATTTCAAAGCAGGAGTTTGAGGTTGAGCCATTTTGCTTGCATTGACAATCAACATAATTTGACTCATTAAGGTTTGCAGCACTTTTAGGAGAAAAAGAAGGGATACAATGAAACATATACTTTGATTATTTTTCATTGCAGATCATTTACATGAAAGTAATACTGGTGGAAAAGCGCAGTTAGTGCTCTTAGTGCTTGAAGTGTTCTTAGTGATTGTGGAAGTTTTCCACTCAGTGTAAATTAACTCTTCAAACCTTGGAGGGAGAAGTGACTTTTGCTAGACCTGAGCCAACAAATTTAAACTATGAGGTGCATTTGTTTGTGAAAGCACAGTTCTACAAGTCATTATTCTCAAAACGTGTAGACACAAAACTACCGAGTTTTTCCTGCCCACACAAACACACACATTTCATCTCTTTTAAAAAGAGAAGAGAAAAAAGGTAGGTCACGTTTTGAGACTGGCAGCCTTGACACAATTTTCCTTTGAGACATTTTTGAATTTGTAATGCAGCAGACAGCTAAATTTAACAACTGAGCTTTTTAAAATATTCACGTGAAGCAGAAAATTGGCTGGTTCTCTGTGAACTGAATGGTCATTTTTGGAGCAAAGTTCAAGCTTTTGAAAAGAACGACATTTTAGATCGAGTGCTATTTACTATGCAATGCTAAGTGTTCCTGGAGATGATCTAAACTACAGTAATGCAAAGAAATAATTTATATCTGTGGCCTAATCCCCTAAGGTTACTTTGCTTAATGTCAAATTTTAGGCTTTTTGCATCTCTGCAAATGTCAAGTTGTTTTTAGTAATGTCACTTCATGTTTTATGATCCTGAGAAACTGTCTGATCTTTCTACAGGATAAAATATCTAAAACGCTCAGGTAATTCAGAGGTCCAGGATGAGATGCAGCAGAAGGACGTGAAATTTAGGCTGTGAAGACAGGCCACAGTGGCCAAACGCAGCTTCCCTGCACACTCTGCCCCTTCCCTGCAGCAATCCTGATGCTCTGAGGCTGGGGAAAAGGGCCCAGCGCTCCCTCCAGCCCTTCCTGTGAACCTCCTGGCATCTCCCATGGGAAGCAGGGAAGGTATTTACACGAGCCATGAGCCAGGGTGAAAAGTGCTCCCACTGCAGAGGTGTCCGGCTGGGCAGCCTCCCTCTACACGGTGCAGCCAAGTGGCATCACCCACTTAGACCACGTGCATTATTTATAGCTCACAGAGAGTTTGTCCTTCGCCCTTATCCTGTTTTGAGCCTCAAGGGCTTATACAGCAGGTTGCCACTGCGGTCTGGGAGGAATGACCTAATCCTGCCTGTCTTAGTGCCTGAGCACACATTTGGTTGGTTTTCTGACCTCAGGACTAAGATTTGCAGCTAAGCAGCGAATGTAATAACACAATTAATGTGACAGCTCCGAAAGCAGTGCTGCTGCTACTTGCCAAATTGTATGGCAACATATTTCAACAGTGAAATCCCCTCACAGGGGGCTTTACCAAATTTCTCTCTTCACCACGACTGAGAATCAGAGCAGATGTGGAAAAGGCTATTGAGCCCACCCACAAAGTCTGCATGAAATGACTCTTCACTGTTTAAGAGCCCATGTTGACTGAGAAACTAAGGCTCTGTCTAGTGTCAGCAGTGGGTAAGTGCTCCCAGTCAACAACGACCATGAGCTGCTGAGCCTCAGGGGCTACAAGATGATCACCTAGACCCAGCAGTTCTGAATTACCTAATTGCTAAATTACTATTTAGCAATAAGCCTATATAACTGTAACAGATGATCAGTGAAACTGGGTGTTTGGTGTGCAAAGAGTCTCACTTAGGATGACAGGGAATCACCTCTCCGTCTCTGTCCCCAGTCTGGCTCAACAGTAGCCTGATAGCTTTGCAAATATAGATCATAGACCTTGATTTCTGGATAAACCAGCGTGAAAGTTCTCCGGATCCCTCAAAATAAACACACAAATGATAACAAACTTACTTCGGATCTGCTTTTTGATTTCCTTGGCAGGGTCCAACCAATTCTGCAAAGAAAATGTTTCCTTTTTCAATTTGAATTAGAAAATACAATAAACACTTTTTTTTTTTAACAGTACTATGAGACAGTCCTAGAAAACTCAAAGGCCCGCCCTTTACTCTTTGTTACAGCAGTAGGCAGAAATAGCATTTAGTTTTAATCTGTGGCCCTGGATAAGAATCAGGATTTTACTAAGTATCCCAGAAGTCTAAGAGTTGAATGGCTTAAAATTAAAAACCAAAACAATCTGTAGAAACTCTTTTCCAAAGTATCTTCTGGGAAAACGCCAATCACACTTCGGCGAGCTTGTCACGGAGTTGTTCTGATTCAATCCTTGAAGGGCTGAGCCTGCTGAAAAGCCTTGCTATGCTGTCGGCACGCGTGGCACGGGACGCATCCGCATCTGCAACCCGGCGTGAGCGTGAGGAGTTAGCACAGGGCACGGGCACTGCCGTGAGCGTGAGGGGTAGCACAGGGCACGGGCACTGCCGTGAGCGTGAGGAGTTAGCACAGGGCACGGGCACTGCCGTGAGCGCGAGGGGTAGCACAGGGCACGGGCACTGCCGCTGAGGCGCCGCGCGCAGCGCGCTGGCCGTGTGAGAAGACCCTGCTGAGGAGATGGGGAATTATCACAGCGACGTGTTACTACCCCAGGCTGCCGCGGAGCGCTGCTGGCCCCGACACGAACCCTCCGCAGCCAGCGCACGGCAGCTCGCTGCCTCTTGGTGCTTCAGCTCCGGCCAAGGGTTAAAATGTCTGAAGCGTCCTGTGGTTTGTACCTGCTCTCAGATATTGGGAGGTAAAGCCCTCACGCTCCTGCACTGTCTTCTAGGGGAGTTAAATCAATATTTAAAACGTGCCACAGGGCCCAGAACAAAAAGTTCGCTTTCCCTAGGAAAGTTCCACTTTCTCCGTGGAAAGACAAACAAATGCATCAGAGCAAAAATACTGAAGAAATAGCAAACAAGCAGAACACTGCAAAACACTCCCATCCAAAACAACCAGCTCACAGCTGTCCAAACCCCAAAGCAGTGCTAATCAAGAGGGGCTAATCAAGAGTTCCAACTATTCCTGAGCATAAAAGTGCATTATGCACCAAAAAAATAAAGAAACATCAGGATTTCTATTTTCAAAAATGACCTGTGATGTGGGTGCAGATATTGTCTAGCTGGAAGATATTTGGCAGAGGATAGAGCTGAATTGGTAAGTACTCTAACATCAAGAATATGTACATTATTGATCAATAAATATGGTGTCAGTCAATTACTCTTTTAGCTATTTATCTCTTTAGAGTAACTGGTAATCTATAAATGTTTAGCACTTCTAAGCCACCTGTTAATAATGAATGATTTTTTTTTTCCCAATAAGGCAAGTATACCTATTGGGAAATGCTCTTTTATATCATATACAACTGAAACAATGGGAAGCCTAGAAAATATAAATGTTCCCATAGGACACAAGCAGCTAAAAAAGTAGCAATAGGTCCAGCTACCTAAGGGCAGACCTTTGAGGCCATGCCAAGTACAGAACACCTCCAACTGGCAAGTTCTGCTGGGCTATGGCACAGCTTACTAAGGAGTTCTGATACTGGATTTTTAAAAAATATTTACCTCAGAACATCTAAATATACACAGTATATTTTAAAATTAACCTTTCCTATTCCCTAAGACAGAATAAGTCAAAACTTAAAGCCATGCTTTATCTTAGTAGCTAGCAGCATGTAGAGTGAATCGACTCCTGCCTATCTTTATCCCAACATAGCATTAAATAAGCCACATTTGAGTATTATATGTTTAGTAATAGATCTAAGAATGTAAATCTCATTTTCATCTATGGTGTTAATGAAATAAAGCCTACTAGAAAGAGAACAAGCTAGATGATTAACAACTTTGATGGCATGAACAACCAACACAGGGAAAGCCACAGAAATGCAGGGCATGTTCTCAAGAAGCGCCAAAAAATAATAACTCTAAGTACATGAATGCTGATTGGAAAGAAAAATACAGATTTCTAGACTGTTTGTGACTGCTTAGGGGGAGTGTCTAAGGGGAAATCTGAAGTCCACATGCCAAAAGTCCGACCAAAGTTTGTGTGTTACCTTTTGGTTTTCTGTGTCTCTGTACGTTAGCCCGAAGTAGTCCTTTTCCAAAAGGTTCAGGTGCTCACACACTTTGTCAAACAGCACTTGACCTCTGGAACGTTTCTGAGAAATGAAAAGAAAAAAAGACAAAATGTGTTACTTTAATGGATATATCACTAAGGAAATCATTGTGCCCAAATGATTTTCTTTTTTTTTTTAATTCCCAAATCAATAACCCCAAATTGACCTATTTAAACTGACCTATCTTTCAAACCCATTGATCTAGAGCTTCATAAGAACCTGCTGAATGGCATAAACCTGTTTTTCATAAAGATTCAGGTCCTGTTGCAGACTCAGAAATAAATCAGTGGCCATCATGTTTCAATTGGAAGACTTCTTCTGCCTCCCAGAAATTGCTACTTCAAATTTATGCCAAGGTTGTGTCTCAGCAAAAATAACCCTCAGAGCTTTCTTTGTATGCAACAGCAGCAACGAACAATAGTACAAACATTCCCAGGAATGTAGTATTAAAGCTGTGACTTTGGGGCAATCCGCTGGAGGAAAAGGTGAGTGTGGAGATGCTCCTTGCTTTACTAGCACTGTGGACCAATTCCAGGATCTTTTTTTTTTTTTTTCGTATGACATATGGGTAAATGCAATACATCATCTTCTGAAGAAGAGCATAGTATGCCACTGGAATGCAGCTGGGTAAGAAAGTAGTTTTACAATGTTCCACTATCCTTCTTTATTGTTAATCTTTATTGCTAACAAGTTGTATGAAAAGATATTTCAGTATCAACAGCAAAAGCCCTTACCAGAACCAGAACCTTCAAGTCAGCCTCAATCTCAGTATTAAATATGGCATTGAAAAAAAAGAAAAAAGGAAGAAAAGTCCTTTTTATGAGCTTCCTTTGCAAACTTCAACAGGCATTAGCTATGATGAAGAATTCAAAAGTATTTGTGCCATGTTTCACCAGATACTGTGTGCCTCCCTGAGTGCATCTCAGTTGAAGGAAAAAGAAAACATTCTCTCCACTTTATTTCAAACACATGCACATGCATACACATATATAAATATTTCAGCTTAAACGTGATGCCAGTGAGACAGCTTCTTTAGCTGTTACGCATAACTTTAAGCAGAATGGAAATACGCGTATTACTTCAAGCACAACACTGAAGCCTACGACAAAAGACGACAGAGTACTTCTTTAGAATTTATCTTCATTAAAATAATGAGGGCAAATCCAGGACATTGCAGAGATTATTGTTTTCTGTGTTATGCAGAGACTATTTGTGGTCGAGTTACACTGAGGATATTCATTGCAGCCTGCCATTCCTAAAAGGTCAGCCATCTGGATCCACATCTCCTCTACCCTACAGCACCCCGGCCACCAGAGCTATTTTACCAGGGCCCCTTGGTGGGCATGCAGCATCAGGCTTCCTGCCTAACTCCCTCAACTGTATACATGGAGTGGAGAAAAACACTCTCTGTCAGTTAAGCTGCACCTAGACTGTGTTGCCAGCGCAGCAGTGTTGGCTGGAGCGTGCGAATATTTCACAATCCAAAGTGACACAGCTATGCCAACTGAACAGGAGAGCCCAGAGCTGACCTCAAACTATTTTAGAAGTGATGAGCAAGCCAATAAAAAATAAAAATAACAAAAAATTGAGGGTTGCTGTCTAACACCTGGCAAAAACATTACGAAAAAATAACAGTAAGCTGCACTGCATAACGTAACATGTTTAATTCTGTATTTTTATTGAAGATGTGATAGTACATTAGACAACAAGAAGGAAAATAGATTTTAGAGTTTTATTGATGGTAAAACTGAGAAATGAGGCTGATAAAATCTAACGAGTGTTCTTCAGCTGAGAGGAAAACACGCCACAGAAGTGTATGGCAAATGGTGTATATTGCCTGAACTTCACTTACTGTGTCTTCTCATATCACTTGAGTAAGCAGCTCTAGGGCCTTTTTCTCCTTTTCACTTTTCTCTTCCTATATTAGGAAGCACAGCTATAGCCTCAGTTGCACTACGATTTCAAACAAATCTTCAGTTAATTCTTCAAGCCACAAACTTGGAAGTATGTAACAGAGGCTGGCAGCTTTATACTTTAAACTCCATGGAGATGAGCAAACAGACAAAAAAGGAAGTTCCACTAGTGCACAGAGACGAACAAAGTCTTAACTTTCAAGCCAAAACAATCACATTTCTGCTGGAAACAAGCTATGCTGTATTTTGCTGAATTTATTGCTTTTCTACTTGATAGAAAACTATGCAGTTATTCTGAATAGAGAGAACTGGGTAGTTGAAATATATGATAAATCTCTATAATACTCACTTTAGGAAACAACCTGTCTGGATCATTTACATGAATTTGAATTGCCACACTTCAATGCCCTGTCTTAAGAGTCATACAAGGTCAAAACAGGAGTTGTTTCATCTTGCTGATCCAAGCAGTTGCACAGATGTCAGCTTTGAGAAATAGTAGCTAGCAGCTGCCTGCTACAATGTTTTAGTAGAGAATTGTAGGAAGCAGTTGTGTGGGGCTGTGCTGCATCAAAAAGGAAAGAAATTCCCTCAGGATCATTGGTGTATCTATGTACATACAGCACCAATGCACACAGTACAAGTACAGGCACTCATGCAATATTACCATCCATATTCTCCTTTTAAAATAACCTTGGGCAGAAATAGAGTGAGGAGGGACTACTGCATAAGCCCATAAAAACTTAAGTGCTTTAGTTAGGCAAAAACGATGAAAACAAATGAACAGACTTTCCATGATCCTATTAATTGCTTTTATGTCACCATATGCCTAAATAAGCAAGATAGATAAGGTATGGGTATCATTCCTTTACCAATCAGTCAGAGAGCAAACAGGGAGAAATAAAAGTCCAATTACTAACTCACAGATCGCAAGTCCATTCTAAACCTTTGTTTTCTACCATTTTGGAGTGACAAATCCAAGGGAATGAAAGACTGATAGTCTGTTGGTTGGTATGAATGACAGCTTAATTCCAAAAAAGAAATAAAGAAAAAAAAATCAAGCCATTCACAGCAATCCAAAATGTGTTCTTAATTGTAGTGTTTTGAGTGGATTGAAAAATACATTTTTTAAGTGAAGAAGAATACATGAAGAATACATGAAGAATAGTTCCATAAGGTAAATATGGCAAGAGTCTCCCCCCTGAAATTATATAAAACGCATGATTCTCACTCCAAGTGGGAATTGGAAAAAAAACAGCCTCCTGGTCAAGCTCCCAGTGAAAAGGGCCAACAGCAGCGAACTTGGCAAGTCTGCACCCGCCAGCAATTCCCACATGCAAGGGAGAGCAGAAACTGTGTCTTTCTCTGCCAACTTCTCTTCTCTTTTGGCCCCAAGCCTCTTCCTCCTCGGGAGGCGGAAGGCTACAAAAGGCTCTCCCGCTCCCCTAATTGGCTTCCCCAGAATCAGTCCACGTTCAGAGTCCTCCAAGGCAGCTTCTCACACGGCTTCTGCTCTGCCTCCACCTACTCCAGCCCCCAACTCTCAGCAACCCAGCACAGCTGACCTTATCTGACATCTCCCCTTCCAGTTCGCATTTCCTGCATGGTCGTCTTCTGGCCCTGCACTCTGCCCGGTGCACACCCACACCATGCCCTAATCCATCCTCTCCCTTTTTTGTATCTAGGCTATTAATGACTGTCTCTCAGCAGCACTGAAAATGAGAAATAACATAGTTAACACTATTAAAAACATTGGATTATGAAAAACTACATATTTCAGCCAACGGCCTAAGGACCCGGACGATGGAACAAACATGTGCTTCCCTCGTATTTGTCCGCAACATCTTGGTCTCAGGGATCTTGGATCCCGGAACATCTGCTCTATGAGGAAAGACAGAGAGAGTTGGGCCTGTTTAGCCTAGAGAAGAGAAGGCTGAGGGGAGACCTGTTCAGTGTCTATAAGGATCTCAAGAGAAGCAGTGAGGAGGATGGTGCTGGCCTCTTTTCAGTGGTGTCCACTGATAGAACTAGAGGAAACGGCGACAAACTAAAGCATCAAAAGTTTCACAGGAACTTAAGGAAACATTTCTTAACAGTGAGGGTGACAGAGCACTGGAACAGGCTGCCCAGAGAGATTGTGAAATCTCCTTCTCTGGAAATCTTCAAAACCTACTTGGATGCCACCCTGTGCCACATGCTCTAGGTGACCCTGTGTGTGCAGGGGGGTTGCACTAGATGACCCCTAGAGGTCCCTTCCAACCTTGAGCATTCTGTGATTCTATGATCTTCTCCTGGCATTATCCCTCCAGTATACTCCTATCCTGCATACTGTAAAAAACCACCAGACCAAGACAACTTGGCAACGCAAATGAGGAGCTTGACAATGAAGCACTTCATCTTAGCACTGCATGTATAACAGGATTACTGTAAAGTCAATTATTCTTCACTGGTGAACTTTTGGATACAATGCCTAGTATTTCTTTGTGCAGAAAAATAATGAGGAAGTTCTTCTTCATTATGGTTAAACCCATAAGCCACCATGTACTTAAGATGAATGGATATTATTAAAAAGAAAAAAAGCAAGCTTTAGTTAATAGATAAACAGGCATTTCAGCCACCAAGTACTGCGCATGGATATAATCACAGAATTACAGACTATGTGAGGGCAGTCTCCTCGCTCAAGCAGAGTCAGCTAGAGCAGGTTGCTCAGATCTTTGTCCAGTTGGGTTTTGAATCTCTCCAAGGATGGAACCTCTATAACCTCCCTGGGCAACATGTTCTAAGGTTCAAGCACCCTCGCAGTGAAGAAGTCTTTTCTAAAGTTGAAGTGGATTTTCCTATGTTTCAGCTTGTGCCCTCTGCCTCTCATCCCACTGCTAGGCACTTGTGAAGAATCTGGCTCCGTAATCTTTACAGCACCTCCCAATCATATATTTATACACACTGATAAGATCTCCCTTGAGCCTTCTCTCCTCCCGGCTAAAGGGTCCTAACTCTTCCAGTCTCTCTTCATTTGCCAGATGAATCAACAAACTCCCTTAATCATCTTCATGGCCCTTTGCTGGACTCACTCCAAGTAGGTCCATGTCTTGGACACAGGACTCCATGTGTGGCCTACAAGCACACGCTGAT